CTGGAGGCTTCATGTTCTTTAGTTATAGGTTCCTTGTTGCTGGTATGAACAAACATGTCACAAAGAACCAAGTAACAAGGTTACAGAAAAACACAAACTCCCGGTTGACCTTTAAAAAAGTATACAGCTCTTGTCAAACAGCCCCCCCCCCCCTTTACAGCAGCCCCGCCGGTGTGCCTCTGAATATAAAGCAACACACCTGTTCACGTCAAGCACTGGACTCTGCTAGCACTTGTTACGGGGACGGGTCCAAGCAAATGAAGGTATTCGGACACGCTGGTATCAATGCAGAATAACACTCGCGCATACAATCTGGACACAATGAAGTGAGATGGAAAACTCTCAAGCAGCTCGCCGAGAGTCGATTTGAGAGATGATATGGATGCACTGCGTGTGCGATTTCACGGCTGTTTTACTGCAGTGACAAATTAATCGTGTGAAGAGCGTTGAGTCAGTTTGGCAGTCAGTGCTGGCAGTTGCTCTTTCTCACTGTGGAATGTGTGTTGGTGTGGGTTTGAGATAAAGGATGTGGGTGAGAAAAAGAAGACAAAGGTAATATACCAGAAGAAGAACAAAATTAGACAGGCATGGAGATGAAGACAGAGACGGATTGCCACTCTGAGGACTCTGGGACATTTAGAACTGCTGAAGTATGCATCTCAGCCTCTCTAATTTTACTGTAGGGTTAAATTTCAAACCAAAGTTCCCATGTGGCACAGTGAATCCTTCTTTAAGGTTTGCCATACCTCAGTTTAAGTGCGTGTATGCATTATGCATGTACGATTTTGGGATTTGTGGGCGCACATTCCCGAGTGTAAGGCTTCAGTCCATCACTCTTCAAGCTTTGGTCCATTTGACTATTTGAGTGATCTCTCTCAAATATGCTGACACAGTTCTGAACCTTGCCTCTTGGTCCTCTCTCCGCCCCTTACGCCCTCCCCAGGTCCCAGCTTGGTAACTGGAGTGCTGACTGGTACAGCATATGATAAGACAGAAGATGATTCTTGACCTTGTCCATGGTAGATATCAACATAACAAAGCCACTGCGTGTTCCATCTAGCTCTTTAATTGCCCACAATGGGACAACTACTGACACACAAAAATGATTAGATTTGATTCTCCAAATTATGCTGTAGCCCTGAGAGCACTAAACAAGCCATGCATCTGCCTTAATCACAAATTGCAAACTGCCGTCCCATTGTACATTTTGACCAGTAAATCCCCAAAATCAGCAGCACACACAGCCCGCACAAGTTAGCACCTAGCTCACCCTACGCATATCCCCATGCAGGTCGGCTATTGGATTCCCGACTGTTACTAATTCAGGCTTACTCAAGCATGACTAACACCATTAGTGGTTAGCTAAAAACCAGCTTTGAAATGATTGAGGAATTATTCCTGGGCTGAGGTATGGCTCACATTATCAGGGGTGACTATGGTGGGATCCAAAAGGACAGAAAACTAGGTTTTAAACGGGTGTTAAAGGCTGTCATAATGAGATAAGCTAAATTTATGCGGCGAAAGGGCCCGCTGTGCTCTGTATATTGGTGCAGTCACATCTAACTGACTATATATATTTTACTGCAGGCATTTTTTGCGTCTTGGGTTCTGAATTATACTCCCTTTCTATCCAATGTATCCCCTTGCCATTTTCAGTAATGTAATTCTAAAGAGATTTGCTGACTATACTAAGAACAAAGAGAATGTTAGGAGTAGGACTTAACCAGAAGATGGTAATATAAATACTGTTAGGCAAAGGAAATCTGCAGTAGAGGATGTCACACAGGCAGAAAAAGACTTTGAAGATGACAGAAACAATACATTCATTATAAGCTACTGGGCCATGTGTGAAAAAAAATCCAATTGGGTACCCTGTTATTACTCATAGCCAGCAATTCAAGCAATTTGAATGAAATGTTAGCGCCATCATTTTGTGGATAAGGTGTCTCAATCTTTTGCTTAACACAACAGTTCTTAAAACAAACAAAAAAAACTAAAGCGAGCAACTACTGGCACTAAATAAATGGAGGACAAGGAAACAATAGATTTATGACAATTAAACCCCCTCAAACATGACTATACAAAGAAACAGAGGCCAGAAAGCTTGATAATGCACTGATCATTACCTTTTGGGGCAATTTTAGAATTCTTTTAGGCTGAATAACTAAATGAATTTGATTTGTTTTGTCTCTGCAGCCGAGTATGAATTTGGCTCCTCAACACAACCATAAGGGCACTCACAAAAGTTAGTTAAGGTTAGTTGGCTGCAGGGTTACCCTGTAGCTACATATTATCCGTTAAAATGTGATTCATTTATGGCTCTGAACGACCCGACAGACGCTCTTGACAGCTGATAAAACCCAAAGATGAAATCATGGTGGCCATATTTCTCTCTTGTACACAGTCCATCTAGACATTAGCGATTCTTTTTTGTAATTTTCCTTCATGTTTTTTTTTTCCATCACACCGGGGGGTGAGCTTGAAGGTAAGAGATTGAGAACCTGTTCTACTCTGGCTTCATTTCTGGGAAGAAGTACTATAGAATTAGTTTTGATTAAACAGAAAAAAAATCCCCAAAATCTGATGACATTTGTGGCTGTGGATTACAAACAGACCTCATCTCTCACTGGTGTTCTTAACTCAGGAAGTGAGTTGGGAAACTGAGCTCATCTAGCCTTCAACCAGAAAGTCATGTAACATACAGGTATTTGATTGTATCAAGCTTTTTTGTGTGTTATTCAGTAAATGCCAACAAGCACTTACCCACAGTGCTGTGAACATGCACTACTTACTGCTTTAAATACATTTAGAGCCCAGTTATTCAGTGCCTGAAATGCTCTTATTGCTGATGAGAGTCCTTGGTTGTGTGACTGTGTGTTAAAAGGGAGACACAGAATTCTTCATTGAGATGATCCCTCTGGTTTTGGTGAAGGGCTCTGGTGAGGATTCAGACCTCAGCTCTGTGCACTTTCTGTCAGAACTGCCAGTGAAATGTGGACTTGGCTGATGTAGCTAATGACGTCGAGAGGGAGGAAGCCGCAGTGACTAAATCATTCAAAGCAGCCAAGCAAAACTGGAACTTGCATTTGATTTTTCAACATTTAACCCAATTTTGGACAATAAGGAAACCCAAATAAAATTCTCAATGTTTGATAATGTTCCACGTAGAAATAATTTAAAGAACCTCCAGTACAGGCGCATGTTCAGTTTAGCCTTGGAAACGTCTATCTGACTAACATGTGAATGCAGTTTCCTTATTTCTGGGTGATTAGCCATTCCCTTACTTCCACTTGGCTCGAAGGCATATATTGCAAATATAAAAACAAGAAAAATAGTTATTTGGCACTTGACACGCAAAAGAAAATTAAGTTTAATTCCAACCTTAAATGACTGAGATAAAAATCTACATATAATGATATAAGAAAAATACATGAATAATGTGATGATCAAAGAACAGAAAGGAAGTAACAGAAGTTCTCATAATTTTCCATAGACAAAAGAAAATAGACTTTGAAATACTATCACACAGAGAGCAAAGTGTAATATTTTCATTCCACCTCAATGGTTGATATGTCACTATAAAAATTGCTGTCTCTCTTTCTCCATTTGTCTTGTTTTGCCAATCCAAAGAGAAAAATTGTCTCAAGCTGGCATTGTATCATACTCACACAGACATGCAAATACAAATTAAAAGAGCCCACATGATGCAAATCAGGACGCAAATATACAAACATGCAAAAGCACACACATGCAAAAACCTTTTGACCTGTACATTGGAAAACCAAGCTCCTTTTCATGCAAATGAATGTGTCAACTCTAACACAACAAATCTGCATGAGGGGTTCAAAGGACAATTACTGGGATGTGCCATAATCAGGCCTACTGCGAATCAGGAGATCATTGTGCCGCTGTATATTATTACTTCGGAGCAGCTTCCTGGTGCTCCCCCTTTGGTGAGAGTCAATAAATCTATTCCAAGTCTCAGATAGGAAACCGCCTTAAAGGCTGAATAAATGCAGTGTTAATCTAAAAGCGCCTCTTCCCTCGGCAACTTATAAAGATAATCAACAAATGGCTGACACGATGATGACGATGGTGAGGCAGTTGCCATGGTAACCACCAGAGATACTTGAGCAAGCTGTCCAACGAGGCATCTGTTCTATATCAATGAATTTGCAAATGAGCAAACACACATCACAATTTTACTGTTTGAGTACGCTTATACGGATTAAAGTTACTGTTGAGTTTGACTGAGCAAACAGTATGGCACAGTGTACAGGCTTCTGCCCCGGGCGGAAATACAAACTTCTCACACAGCCAATCCATGATGTATCTCATTCGACTACAAGGCTCAACATCCGAAGCCGAACCTGCATGATCAAAGGTCACATTGCCTGGCAACCACTTGAGCTTAAGGAACAGTTTTAATTATGGTCTGTGCTGTCTCTCCTCCAATCTCCCTCCACCATTCACTCTCCCATCTGCACGTTCACTCGCTGCCACAAAGACACACACACGCACACGGGCAGCCATCAATTTCCTCTTTAGCACAAAGCCAAAACGAGCATTAAGTTTCATCCACCCACAACTGAAACATTTAGAAGGAGGGTTTCCACAGTATATTCAGAATCTCTATTTTACAGAATGATATGAGGTCACGTACAGTTTAATAGTAATAAATAAAAAAAATTAAAAAGTGGTTCAAGTTCTGCATGACAGAAATGATAGAAAAAAAGATAAAACGGTGACAATGGTCAGTGCAGTGCCCCTTTTTGCACAGCCAAGTTTCCCGGTCATGAGCACAGCCACACATGCCATGTCATCTCTACACGTGATTACCACAGCCGCTGCATTCTTCATGAGGAGAGGATTCTGTGTGGAAAAGCAATACTCCCATTCAACAACGGAAGCGATAATTCCATAATCCAATCCGTGAACATCTGGACTGAAAGCTGCCTAGCTAGCCAATCAGAGGGGCTGAACAGATTTAGTGGAGCACATCAGTATGAAGAGCCTTCAGACACATGTTTGTGGTGGCAGGTGCAACTGAAAAAAGAAAGAAAGAAAGAAAGGCAGGGGAAAAAAAGTTCCAACCACTGAATGCAGTATTTTAGCCAAATCTGTCTTATAGAATTAGTAGTATAAATTAAAATGTTGTTTTGGATATGTGAGGATTGGTCAGCTGTGTGCTGTTAGTAAATGTCAACTTCACATGGGACAGTTTGAATTAGTTTAGCCTCTCCCTGTAAGGGCATTACTGAACCCTTCATAATTCCTCCTCAAAATGTCTGCCAAAACGATAAATGAAAAAAAAAATCAGATCTGAAGTTTTCATGAATAGATTATCTGCCTTTGCCCTGTTTGATATATGCACATCAATTTTCAAATAAACCCAACCTTTATATCCAGCCTGACTACAGCTACGCACCCTTGAATTGGCTAAAACAATCTTGACTCTTCAACTCAAATATGTATGCGAAAGGTAATACAGTGTAGCTCATGTTAGATAACCATGTACCTGACAACAGGCTTTGTCAAACCACGACCCACTAGTTGACTGGTTTGGTTCCTTGAGTTTCCCATGTACCAAGCCTTGGCCGTCTGAATCTGCTGTGACCCAAACAGATGGATTGACAGCATGAGGCTGCACACTGTGACACAGGAAGGTACAATCTTTTCCATCTAGGATAAGCTACAGTATACACATTTGCTTCTTCTCTCGTTTTTTTGTTGCTGCTCATTTTGCTTGTGTGTGTTTTTGTGATTCTAAAAGGAAACATTTAATCAGAAAAGCCATACTTTGCTGAGCTCCAGGAATATTAATTATAAAGCAATGTCATGCAAAAGTATTTTGTTTTTTCTGTAAATGAAAACCATCGACCTTGTAAAATCTAAACCATGTAAATCCATTCTAACCCTAACCATGTCATATTAACTTAGAAATGTAATAGTGGAAATTAAAGTTCCACATAGCATTTGATTTTGCAATTAATGGTTCAAGTCCATCTGCCAAACTATTCCTCATCTCCCTCTGAGGTATTTTTGTTTAGGTCAGCAGGGTCTACTATGGGCATTATTACATTGCAAAGTATCAACAACTTTATTGCTTGAGTGAAAAAAGAATAGGGTGGCATGGTGGTTTGGTGGTTGGCACCATCGTTTCACAGCAAGTGGGTTCTTGGTTCGGGTTCCCGGGGGAACCAAGACCTTTCTGCATGTTAAGTTAATTAGACATTCCAAAATTGCCCTTAGGAGTGAGTGAGTGGTTGTTTGTTCTTGTGTGTCTCTGTGTGGCCCTGCGATGGACTGGCGTCCAGGGTGTACCCCGCCTCCCACCGTTGACCACCCAGTGGTCAACGGGAACCCATTAGGGAATAAGCGGCTACGATAATGCATGGATGGATGAAAAAGGAATACATAGTGCAAGAAAGGAAGACTTTGTGTTTAACCCTTTACTCTTCATTTACTGAACATCTCAGCAGATCACGAGAATCAAATGATAAAGTATTAAATTAAACTAAGCACAAAGTGATAATAATAATGATGATGATTCTAAAAGAGTTTTCAGGCACTTTGGCGTTGTCTATTTAAAAACATCATCACAATCGGCATGCTCACCCTGAATCGGAGCTGCAGCGCCTTTAGCAGGACCAAGTATTTTGCACATGTCTTCATGTTCATATGATGGCATTTATCTGCGTTCACCTCAGCGGCACGTCTTGTTGAACATGTGTTTGAGTAGCGACATACAGGCAATCATGAAACGACAGCTGGAAAGGATGCAAAGCTCCACAGCGTGACGATGACTTGTGATTTCTGCTGAATATTTTGTCCTGTCACTTGGAAATTCTCAGGAGGGTATAGTGTTCACATGAACACACACACACACCCACAGAGGGAAATCCTTGGAGATGTTACATGCTTACTGAACAGAAACACTGCCTATTTCTACACGTCAGTGTGTCAAATGCAACGCTTAACAAAGTCCACTGAGCTTTGCACCTCATGTCCTAACTTCTGGGACAGGGAAAACGAGTCCCAAAGAGGATGCAGCGTGATTATTTGCCTTTTAGCAAGAAAAGAAAAAATAGAGTTTGAAGGAAATCAACAATAAACGGGGTAAGAGCAAGTTAAATCAGCTGGACAACTAAGCGGTTATAAATTAAATGAATGCAGGCAAACTCAAGATGAGTTACCATCTTTACAACAGCCACGAACTCCACATGACTCCCTCCTCTGCCTGACTGCCTGCCCTCCTGCCCAGCTGACTCATCCCAGTCTTTCTCAAGAAGCCACAGAAATATGTGCCATTCTCTGAGAGATTACAGGCCACAGACACACAGTTCTGGCATGCGGATGAAACCCAATGCTATCGCCACTGCTGTCGACACAGCCCGGCTCTCCACTAACACTCATACCGGCATTTACCACAGTCTTTCATTCAATCCGACACAGAGCACTTACACAGCTTACATGTAAACCGCAGCCTTGCTTTACACATCCTTTCTGTTGCTTCTGCCTGTTAATGCGCATCTTCTTGGTGCTGAAAAATGGTACATTCTCATATTCCTGGAGGCTATGTGCTGACTTCTGCCAAAAATTTCCCTTTCACCTTCCTACTGTCTCCCACCAGGGAGAGCAAATATATTCAAGAAGGAAGTGCGGAGAAAAAAAGCTGAATCTCCTAATGTCTTATTTTATTTATTGTACGTAAAAACAGCTACATCTTTCAGAATTTACAGAAAATATCATATTGGCTAGCATATACAGTACATATAAACGGTACCAATAAAAACATTGAGGCCTTAATTTACTCTCATGGTTTTTTGAGCTGACACGTCCACTTACTATGATGTCATACAATAGTAATGCGGCAAAGTACAGAATAAGATAACATGTTGTAATTTGATTGCACTGTGGGTCATTTGAAAGCTACTCATCTAACTCATGATGCATGTGCCGTTGCATCAGCAGCTTTATATATAGCTCTTGTGTATGTACTAGCTGGCAATGACCCTGGTCATTAATGGTAACAATATATGAGGCACATGTGGGCAGTTATTCGATGTGTGCCGGTGTATGTGCGTGTGTGTGAGTGTAAGCCCAATCTTTTTAAACTATCTGTGAAAATGTTTTGTGTTATTACATTCCATTACATTGCCATGAGAGAGTCACACTTAGTTCAGATTGCTGGCAGTGGTTAGTGGCCGTCACACTTACTGTACATTTTTGAATTCATAAACAGATCACCAAACGTGACTTTAAAGGACACCACCATGGATGTTAATGGAAGAAAGAAACTCTTCTGGAGAAGAATTTGCTGTAGAAAGGCATTGAGTAGCCCATATCTCCCCATGAATAGAGGGTTAGGATTATTATGTTCTCATGATGATTTATCAATCTATCCAAGAAAAGGGCAGGTGATGAGTGGCTGAGGTCATCCCACACAGCAGGTGATGTACAAACACTGCTGGACACAAACATCCCATACACACCCACACATAACACACACTTTTTATTCTCTTCTCTCAGAGAGACAAGATCTCCCATTTCCTCTTAATCTTTTCCTCCTGTTTGTGGCGCAAGCGTGCACACACAGACACACACACACACACACACACATTCATTTGAGAGAGATGATAGTGTGACTGAGATGGCGGGCGTCTATATCAGTGTTGGGACGGGTATATATTCCTGGCCGGTGCTGATAAGCCAACTGATGCCTTGCCTTATTTAGGCAGTGCTCACCGCTGACACACTAGCAGAGTAACACACACTGCATGTGCTCCGTATGTGTTTGTCCAGCAGTCTGTGTGTGTCCCTTAGTGTGTGTGTATGAGAGGTCTTCCTAGGCAGAAATAGTTGGGCTCTGAATAAGTGAATGCATATAGACAGAACTGTATAGTCGTGTCTGATGGTCCCTGCTTCATCTTCTTTTTTTTTTACTTGACAAATGAACCAACTTACAGAACTTAAGTCCCACAATATAACACAAAGTCACATAAGATTAAATGTGTGATCCTCTCAAATATGAAATCTTTCAAGTATTTGGATTAAATTCATTTCAGTGATTCTTGTTATAATCTTGAGCCTTTTCATTGGGGTGGGTATAGCTCAGTGGTAGAGCATTTGACTGCAGATCAAGAGGTCCCAGTTCAACGCTCAGTGCCCCGCTACTTGTAAATTGCTTTGGATAAAAGCATTTGCTAAATTCATAAACAGCATTGTGGACGCTAAATGAAGAAAATAGTCCTTTTACTCTACACATTTTTCTTTTATTGAGCTCAGTCATTTTAAACACCACAATCAGGTCATGTTGTTGTCAACTCATGGTTTCCCACTGCGCAACTGTTAAAATGTCTGTTAGAAAAGCTATCTAAAAGTTGCTATGTTAATCTTAAGTAAGCCAATTTACATTTCTATACATTTCAGAATGAATGGTATCATAGATATGTATATGATATAATATTTCTACTTTACATTCAAATATACATGAATATATCTATGTGCACTGTGAGGAGATTAGATCACTTAACACAATAAAGTCTGTCTCCACCATGTTAATTGTTGAATAACCTTTGACACCATGCGGAACAAACAGTGCTATTACACAGACCACACACATGCACATCTCCCTCTCTCTCTGTCTCTC